TGCGAGACACGCCACGGGGTGGTGCACGTACCCGGGATACGCGATACCGTGAGTCTGCGTGCTTTCTACCGTGACGTACCTTAGGTCGAGATCGAATCGAACGATACAGAACTAGAACGGGTTGGTGCTGAGTTAAAAGACGTTTTTCATCGGGAATTCATTCCATCTTACAAGCTATTTTCGTGCCCCAGCGCGTTTCGAACGAGCATAAACTTCAACTAGACCGATAATAAATTTCCCGAGTTCCTATCGCGGAGTAAATCGTTGAGAAATTTCGGAGCACAAATCAGACGTAAAAATGTGTTCGAAACACGCTTGATGAAAATCTTATGACACTTCTTTATTTTACACAAAGTACTTCGAAAATTTTATAAATTAATCGAATACATACAACAAGCGAAACACAAAAGTATCAAAGATTTTTTTTATTTAAGGAATTTATTTTTAAAAATAAAAAGCGTAATAGATATGTACATAAGAAAATTAATATGTATTTAAAATTTAGTAACTAAAATTTTTTTACGATTTATAATCTTATTATTTAATATTATTTGCTTGACATTGATCACTTCGATGTCAGAAAGGTAGATAATATGCTTATTAATATAAAATACAAGGACAAAATAATTTTTTATTGCAATAAACGGCAATAAATAGTCCACACAATCTCTATTTTACTGCTCTGACGACAGAATTAATAAGGGAAGTCCCAAGCGTATCATAATTCACTTATGAAACCATGTTTATTATGCAATTATTATTCATTCATTGATACTCGCACTCTATTTGTAAAAAAAGCTCGCCTATCTTCTTCTTATCTCTGTCCGGATATGGGAAATGATTTGAACGTGCATTTTATGCCGCATGAAAAAAAAAACGTATACGCAACTCGCCTGTTCGCTCGCCACGGTTGCTTACGCACATTTAAAAAAAAAAAGAAAGAAGAAAAGATAATATCGTTCAAGTAGCGCGTGGAGTGAAAGTTTCGAACGTAACGAATGCGCTCGATGCCAATACCTGCTATGCGTTCCAGATAATTAATGTCGTTTCGCATGTATAACATTTTTTTACGCCCTGGGGAAGGGAGAATAGTCATTTGACGTGACTCATTCGGTATTCACTCTGAAGAGAATTGTGCGACGCGTAATTAATACATAATTAATATGCTAATCGTGTGAGATTACTTAAAAAAAAGTTGAAATTTGTTCTTATTGAATGATATAAACAATGCGATTTTATTCACGTAACTAATTGGGCGTTTGATTAATTCGTTCGCTTCCGATTTTTATATTTTCAAATAATATTCGTCGCGCAGCAACGCAGATTCTGAAGGATGCTGGTCGGCGATCTCGCTCGAAGGTTGAAATTTTTAAGCTGAGAATGAGAATGTTCCATGCCTCCTCTTTCCCCCCTTCTTCGCTGTCATTAAGGCACTTTTTGCGTTCCGTGGCTGGAAAGTGATCGGTCATCCGTGATGAAACGCTATCAAATTACATCTTTTTTCAGCGAGCGTCGCGTTGTACTTTCGCTTCGAAAGCCCTCTTCCTCGATTTATGAAGCGTGCGATACCGAATTCGCGATGCGCGCAACCAGTACCACGACACTACGCTCTTTACGCGGCGGTTAAACCGATCTAAAAAGGCAATCGCGGTCTATGCGCCTCGTTAAAATACCGATTGCAAAATCGCGCTGTATGTATAAGCTCTATAAACTTATAGGGCGCGAGAAAAGAAAGGAATTTATCTTGGCAAATCTCTTCGCTCTATCGAAAGGCACTGCATTAAAGTTGCGTGAAACGAGCGAGAGTCGCAGATTGAATCAGTTAATGTACCTATTTACGAGCAAGGATATGTGTATCTTTCCGATTTTGACGTGTTCGGACTTTAGACGCGTTGCGAAACAGTTAAAAGCAAGAATATGTAGATATATATATATATTTTTTTTTAAATAAGAATGAGCTAACAACTACTAAAGATGCAGCTTCACTGGAAAATATGTACAGTTTGAAGAGAACCGTCGCGTCATGTTCCCTCAGTCGTCAAATTGTCAGTCCGGTTCCTCGCGCGTTTATTTCGAACACGTATCTCGGTGAGGAATGTTGAAGATACCGTTCGCTTTTTCATTGCCGAATGTTACTACATATATTCGTACCCCTTCGCTTGAAAATTTGTGCGTAACCCACATATAATTGCCGTCGTGTAATTTCTTACGCGGCTGGAAGCAGCGTGTTTATCGACGCCGTGGTTTACGAGACATCGTTAAAAACGCTGTTGAAATCTGCTTCCTGGTCGCAAAGTACGTCCTAAAACGCGCGCGCACGTATGCTGAAGAGGAGTCTCTTCAGGCGAGAAATATGCACTCGCGGGATATGCCCGAGCGTTCACAAACAACTCCGCCGCGAATAAATTCATTACGAAATCGATGCGCAACAGCGTGTTTACAGAAATTAACAGGGTAAATCTGTGGTATTCAAAGCCGCGCTCATGTGGTGGTGTTGTTGTACATATGCAGGTTACGAATTCGCGTACGTTCCATGTAATTTGCATTCCGCAATCGATTTACAGTATATTTCTTTGGTGAAAAGAATTCTTATATCTCATAATGTTTTTAAGAATGTTTGAAATTTTAAATTTATGAAGACTTCTAAAAAAAATATCTTAATATAAGCTTCTTCAAATTTTATGTTTTTTTTCGAAATTATAGAACAAAAAATCTTAGAATATTTTAAAAATCGTATATAAAGAATTCTAGAAAAGATACAGATGTTCTCAGCTTTTCTGAACAATGTTTCAATTTATATAAAAATTCTAAGAATTTTTCTAAAAAATTCTAAAATTTATATAGAATTTCTGAAAACTTTTAAGAAAAATTTTTACCAAATTTTGTCTTTAACAAAAACATCAAAACTTTTTAAATCCTAAGTAAAGGAAGAAAGATGAATTCTGTTTAAAAAGAGTTTTAATATAATTTCTTAAATATCTATAATAGATATTTAGTAGCAAACGGTAATCACGATGTGAAAACGAAATGAGATCGATTATTCCTTGAAGCGAAATAGCTGCGTGAAATCGACTCGTGACAATTAACCGAAGATTGTTGCTACGCGGCGCGTGTTTGTCATTGTCCCACGTAGCTCCGTGAAAAAGTGACGTTTGTGCAAACATACGCCGTATCGTAGCGACTCGTACGAGCCGCACAACGCCGAAGTCTTTCCATCTCCGACAGAGAACCGTATAATTTGAAGTCCGTTAACCAAATCGTATATCCGTGAACCAAACAACTGCACAGGTGTGTTATCCGTTTCACTTTACTACTTCGCTGCTACTTTAACGCGGCGGATATACCGGTAGCAAGGTAAATACGTTTCTTCTGGAAAGAAAAACGGAAAGAGAAGAAAAGAAAGACGAAAAAAAAAAGGTCGAACGCTCGTGTGTGCGTCTCGACCGACTGTCTCGGTATATGCCAAGTGCATTCGGATAACCGTGATAATCCGTCGTTTCACATCGTTAGGACTGCTCGTTCGGCCGCCGCGCCGCGCCACTCCGCTCCACTCTGCTCCGCGCGCGAATCCCAGCTAATTATGAATAATATAATTAGGCGGGATTCCCATGGTTTCCCTTTTGTGAGATCGACGATGAGGCGGAATGAGCGTGCCGACGAAACGACGATTCATCGCGACCGCGAGGGAATCGAGGGTCGGCGACGAGCGATGCGCGCGATTGAAATAATAGCTCGTGTGAAATTTAGAATCATGTCAGCTGGGGGGACATGTAATCGTATGATGTAATTCTTAAGTATGCTACTGCATGAATGTTACCGTAGGAACCTATTCAGAGCATTGACGCGCGGTCGTCGCTTCGCTCTAGAATTTAAAATCTAGTCGTCCGGAAGTTGCATGTCGATCTCTGCTCTCGCGCATTCGCAACAATTTCAGATATAATTTTAGGAATTATTCAATAACGTTTGAATTCAGAAATTATTTAACATAATATAATTTAATCATATCATTTAAAATATTTATTATATCTTTAGTTTCCTTTTAAATCATTTAAAAATCTGACGACTTAAATTTGTTTGAGTACATTAAGACTTAGGGTGTAATTTGAATAGTAGGGTAATTTGGATAACAGTAAGCATTTGCAAGAATTTCGAAAAAAATAAGAGATTTTAAGATACATTTTATTAGATCAGACATTGATCTAATGAAATGTATCTTAAAATCTCTTATTTTTTTCTAAAATTCTTGCAAATATTTACTGTTATCCAAATTACCCCACTATTCAAATTACCTCACTGTACCCTACTATCTAAAACATTAAAAATAAATTAAGTAATACTTTACTCATATAAATAATATTTTACTCATGTAAATAGTATCAATAGTATGTATGTCAAATATTGAGACGAAAAATCTTGAAAAATATGGAAAAAATTTGTCATTATAATATATAATCAAAGTACAACTAAAATATAATAATATAGTTATACAACTTTCTTAATAACATCATTTCTTTTCTCAAAGAGATATGTGACTATTTTTATATAATCTCTAATCTTTAACATATATAATAATGTCAAGAATCTTGGGATAGCATTAAAAATATTCAATATTAAAATCTGCTTCGAGAAAAGACTAAATTTTATTCCTGGAATTAAACGCGCACTATATTTCGTTTCTTTCAAATTTAATATAGTATGTAATTCATGCCACAGAGTTGAACAGCAATTTAGAATAAAGCATCGAGTGTATCGAGACAGTGAGACGCTCTGCCTGTGCGGATCCGAATTTTCCTGCAGTGAAAGTCGCGTTTTGAACGAGCCTGTGCGCCAATCAGCTACGAAAGACATTTAAAAGTCATTCGTAAACGTCATTCTTAAGCAGTTACGTTATCCAGGATCCCAGGATAATAAATGAGCGAGCGGCGCGTCGCGTATACCTCGCGGAGAGGAATTCTCCGCGCGACGGTAGTGACCGTAGAAATTCCTTTCGCCGGTCTCACCTGATAGCCGATCCGACGTACTGATCTATTCAATGAGGAATCCGCTGAATCATTATCGTCGATTTCCCTTCCCGGATGGATATCCCGGTGGAATATCTCGTTTTCCCACGGAGGACACAACGCGATATCCGGTGACGTGCGTCTTTATTTTATTTCTTCTCTGTATTTCCCCTTCGTCGACGCGAGTACGACCGCGGGAACGCGACGGGGCGACGGCGCGCGAGCAGATCCCGCTCGATGCCACCTGATCGAGCGATCACCGTGAACTGAACTGAACGCCGAACGCTCAGTCTTGCTCCTCGACGCTGCTCGTCGCCGTAGAGCGGGACAGAACCGTGACAAGCCCGATCGGCGCCCCTCGACCGAGCCACTCGACTTCTCTACGTTCCGATCTCGATTAGCCTGCTTCCATTATTTTCGAAACACGCAAATAGTTTCAATGAACCCATGCGAGCTATTTTTAACTGTTCGATTTTCCGGAGTTCGGTTTGCAGCCAATCCCGCAAACCGAAGAGACGGACTCTTCTTCTTCTCGATTGCGAATTTCCGATCCGAGCTTTAAAACAAAACTAAAAATCAAATAAATCTGCACTATTATTATTATCATCTTATATAATAATAAATTTATTCTATATACGTATATACAGTCGAACCTCTATAATTTGAAAACTTCTATAAAACGAAAATTTTGTTTATTCCCTTCCGCTTCGCTATGAAAAACCTCTATAAATCAAAATAAAATCTACATTAACTCGAATTATTTGTCAGATATTTAAATATATTATTTTATCTCTGCAACTCGAATTTAAAGCCAGGCCTTTACAAGTCGAAGTTCATCGCTATAAGTCAAACTTCTATTGTCGCTACCTTTAATAAAATTAAAAATATCTAATAAAATTAATAAGTTGTAGCTATGTATAACCATAAGTAATAGCCTGGTATTTATTTTATGATTACATTTATTATATGTATACAATAAATAATCCGTCAAATATTGAGTTTTTTTCCTTTAAAAGCCATTATAATCGGAAAATTATAAATTCTCGTACAAAGCCTCCGTAAGTCGAATTTTTATATGTTAACTCTTTTTTAATCGAATTTCGAAATCTCTATAATTCGAAGATTTTAGCTCTTCCCTTGAGATTCAAGGTTAACGATTGTATATACAAAAGGCAAAACGACAGCAGTGCTACTGATAAACAATGCTAGTCAGATAAATGACATTGAGATTAAATATAAATATAGTAAATACAGCTAGTATTAAATATAATAATAATAATTAAATATGAATTGTTGAATTATTCTCTCTCTCTCTCTCTCTCTCTCTCTCTCTCTCT